GCAAGTAGTGTGTCAATCTGGAAGCAAAAAATTGTAAATGTTAATGAAAAACTGGATAAAGAAATTTGATATGCATTGATTTGTTCAAACATGTCAAACAAAGAGAAGGGACGAGGGGCTGGGGGGTAGGATTGGAGCACCATAGGTGCCCCAATTGAATTGGTGTCACAATCTTACACCATTTTTTGGGTGTAAGATTATTCTTCCTCTCTATTAAAAAATAATCAAGCGCTTTTTCTAACAAAGCTATTCCATTTTTGCTGTGCCTTTTTACTCCTATCAACTATCAATCAGTCCTATTAACCTGAGTTTGTTAATTTAAATTTGCAAAACACAGAAATCAGTACATGTTGGAGTGCAACTTTTCCATCAATCTCATCTTAAAGCTCAATAAAAACAAAAGTCAAGGTACCCAGCTAAACATTTAATCATATTGCTAATTGCAAATCAAATGTGCACCTATGATATAAACAGCACAGAAATATAATTACATAGTGAATCAGCCATTTATAGATATAGAATGAAGACCTTACTTTATGTCCATTGGCATTAAAGTGCTCTACAATATGACGGGTACCATATGCAATTCCCTGTAATGAGGCAAGGTAGAGAAGAGCCAGCTGCTTTTCACTAGTGTCGAGAGTTAACCCAGATACTATACCTTTCGAATTAGGGTCTGCAAATGGAGATCTGATGTGCGAAGTTAGTACAGATTTCAGATGCATAAAGAGGCACTTTCTGAGCTCATTAAAGCTGCTGTGTTACCTGTTCCCGTGGAAGTCCGGGAGGACATGTATAGATTCAGTCAAAGCAGCAGTAAATGGGGCTTTGAGTTCATTTTTCATAGATTCTAATATCTTATTCAGCAATTCAAACACCGAAGTTCCTGCAAAATGTCAATTATCAAAGATTTACTAAAAACTAGCATATTAAACATGACATGGAACATGGCTGTTTAAAGGCACTGAAAAGTAACTTGAAGGAAATGACTTGCGATGGAAATAATGTTTGGAAACTGGAAGAAGTTACAAAATTTTGAAATATTTTACTTTGAGATGCAGCACAGTTAGCAAGATGTGGAGATGCCACATGATTTTGAATCACATAATCCAGCAATGAACCAGTGGCACTCTGACCGCCCTCTGTAAGCCAGTACTCAGGAACCATTGCTGAAAAATATCAGGTAAAAGACGTGATTTCTACTTTAAACTCATTAAATTATTATGAATGCACTGCTGAAATTTTGATGAGTAATGGTTTCAAGTAATTGTAGATTTGTAGAAAAACTGGAATATTGTATAATACTAACTGTACTAGTATCCAATGCAGGAATGATAGCAGTAAACTCTGTTCTACACTTTTACAGATGAGATTTCAGAATAGCCACAACAAAATCCATTTGCTCTATGCTGATTAAGAGATGAGGAAAAAGTTGGATGCATCACTTACAGGGTACGTTGCAGATTTACTATATATTTGGGTTTCATATCCAGTAGGATGAGGTGATGAACACACCTCACCTTGGCGCCGTGATAACTATGAACACCAGTCATTTCCAGAAGTGAAGGATGTAATGAACTTGAATGTAACATGAATATATGATCATACCAACTGAAAACTGATAGTCTTCTTTCATATCCATCATCCTATCTGATTTTCTTATAATTATTATCATATTTCTAGAATTCTAGCTGCCAGTTTCAATTCCGCATTTTTTTTTCATATAGTTCCTCTTTTTGCCTACGCTTCCCTCTTAAAACTTCGTTCCACACCATTGGAAGGTTACCATAACAAATGGGCACGTGGACTAAGAAAACACTACACTTCGGATTAAGAACATTCTTTTACTTTTAACCTTCCTTTCTGACAAAGCATAGTATTTTCTGTATTATTCATCAGGATCATCACCACAAAAGATAGGAGCTTGGTGGGCTTAGATAGTACGTAGTAGGTAGTATTTGTTTTAGAATGTTTTAAAACAGGGCTTTCATACCATTTTTAATGCTAATAAATAGGCAAGGGTTCCCTTAACCTTGCCCCACCAGAAAAGATGGAAAATCATGTGAATTAAAGAAAGGGTGTTGATATATCCACTTCTTTTATATTAAATGGACAATTTTGCCCATAAAAGTGGCCTTGCATCAAGATTGCTTCTTATGTATTTTTGAGATAAAATTTGTCAATTTAACATGAATGGAGTAAATATAGTCAAAATGGGGATGGATAAAGCAACACTCTTTAAGAAAAACATTGAATAATAAATTACTCCATATTTCTTTTAATTATATTGCTTTCAAATCACATCCTGATCCGTTAGCAACTTAGCCGCAAATTATATCCTACAGCCGGATGTACGATTCTTCCCATACAGTCGGCGAAATTAAGAGATCTAGCCGTTTTGGGAGCCGTCGCCGTGCGATTTGGGAGCCGTTGCCTAATAGAGGCCGCGCGATTTGGGAGCCGTCGCCGTGCAAACCATCGCCTGCACTCTATGTGTCAATCCAGCGAGATCAAGGAAGCGGTTTTGGTGTTGCTTCAATCAACGATGAAGAAGGCAAATTGATTGGGAAGCTTGACGGCGTTTAGGATGAATTGAATTGAGCTAGTACACATTCTATTATGTCTTGGTACTCAATTGTATTCTGTGTAGTATTATATTCATTTTCAGCAATTTATTGGGTGATATGAACGGTACATTGCTTCAAAATGAACACTACGTTATTTGAGAATGAGCACTACTTGTTTCAGAATAAACACTACGTTATTCGTAAATGAAAATTATAATTTTATTGAACAAATGTGTGAAAATGAACACTACGTTATTTCAGAATGAGGACTATGTTATTTCAGAATGAACACTTATGTTTTGTGCGAGAATGAATACTACTTCAAAATGAGTACTACCTGGCTGTACCTTACTTCTAGTATAACCGGCTGTACCATAACGGACTCCAACTTAGCAAGAGTAATATAAAAACTTATAATGATAACAAAAATGTTGCGATAATAGTAATAATTATTATTATAAATAATACTCCCTGCATCCAGAAATATTCTTCCCATGTTGAGTTGGCACGCTTAATTAGAAGTAGAAAAAAGTGTCAAACTTCCAAGAATGCCACTACTTTAATTTGGGTGGGTGTTAATGTGTTACTGATATATACTCTTAAAAAGTAAGTTAAAAAAAAGGAAATGGGAATAATAAGTGAGAAGAACATTTCCGACGGAGGGAGTAATAACAATAACAAACAAATGAGGCAGCACTCAAGTTTTCTGAAGAGATGGAATCATACCTGACCAGAAAGGACCCCAGACCCCCAGTATGAACAACTTTGTTTGAGAGACAGCCATGTGGCAAGTGGAAGTGCCACATACCAAAACCATACGACGACATATAGATTCAGCATCAGCTTCTAAACACACATTAAACTCCTCTACTAACTAAACTTGGTTGATAAATAAACATTACAATTTACTTAACAGAGAAAAAACCTTTTGATTCAGCATCAGATGTTGGCAAACTTTCCATTACCCCCACGCCACCAGCATGAGCATCTATTAGTGAGGTGCCTACAGGTGTCCCAGCCACCAAACCCAATTCCTGAAACAATATTCTAGTAAAATCAGTGAAAGAAAGAATACAAAATGGGCCAATTTGATTGCAAAGCGAATAGAAACTATAGCTTGGATTATGGAGTAAAAATTATGCATGAATATTAGTGAAAATTCTTGCCTTGGCAGCTGACGTGGTTAGACCAGAGCCCAATGCATGGCCAGGGAAGGCCACACTTTTCCCTGTTCATTATTTACAAAATACATAAATTGCAACAAAAATTGCTCAACATAATGTTTCCAAGTAAAAGATTTATTGCTAACATATTTAACAAAACTTTTCATGCCCACTCAAGATACGATGAAAGATAACTTTGCATACGGAAACAAATCAAACAACTAGTCTAATACCTGTAAGGCTGCAACTAATATTGGCCTGGAATTAGGATGGTGTCACAAGAATATGGGATGAAGGTGAAAGCTGTTTGAAGCTTATGGTGGGAGTGTGGGCTGTGGCATGCGGAAAAAATAGAGTTGGTAGTGAAAAGGCTTTTTAAAAATTAATTGGAGATGACTTCTCTTCTAACTCTGTTTGTTCAACTAATTGGACAATTTTCTGATATTCATTCAAATGTCAAAGTAAAACAACAAGCTTAACTACAAGGCCTTCTATGGTAACAAACCATTAAATTAGGAACCCAGCCAGCAAGAAAACAAGAAACTACTTGAATGTCCGATAATTGCACGGATATAATTTACGCACCATAACCTGTTAAAACTAAGGAACCTAATTTACTGCATAATTTGGATGCATCAATGCACTCCACTAGGAAACCAAGCTTGTCCTCAAGCTTGAAAACTAGATCATTAATGAGGGGAACTGGGAATGTATAATTTGCACTTCTGCATCAGGGAAATCTCTAAACTGTGAAAAGAATGCATTGCTGCGAACAATAAATCCACGCTGAAGAAAATGAATACCCGTAGTTCTGAACCCAGAAAACAATGTTCTCATCATCAGTAGTGTTCCGAGTTCACACCATCTGACGCGGTCCATGAAATGCGTGCATGGAAAACAGAGTATCATTGTACCACAAGAAACTAAAGGTCTAATAAATACCAAAGAAACATATGATGCAAATCTATCTACAAACAAAAAAACTAAACAAAAAACCACCTCACTACACCTAGTTACTCTTTAGAACATTTGTCATCAAGAGAAAGACACACGAAAACCCAACTGCCCTATGTCTTTAATCCTTGCTCTCCTAACTCTCCTATCTAAGAGCCAAAGTGGTCTTAGAATTCCATCTTATCATTTCTCCTTTTGAAGGCTTCAAACAGAAGAGCAGGCTGCATATAACATTGCCACTTGTGATTTTATGCAATAAATATTGTGATAATTAATTTTTTATACATTTAATTGGCACAATAAATTTAATGTCACTCACCCCAACTATTTCGGGTTAAGGTGCTGAAAATGATAATAATGATACTATCCTATTCCAACTTAAGGATGATGACTGATCATATGCCTCTTACCAACAAAAATATTCTATTGGTCTTATTCGTCTTTTTCATGTAACTATATATAAATGAGGTAGTCAAAGTCTAAGGTGCACTCAAGGTGCAAAGATCCTGCATTGCTTGAGGCACATGGCGTAAAAGAGCGGTTGCTTGACTCATAAAAGCACACAATTTTGAGAACATTTTCAACACTTCTCTAGAATCATCAAATTATCTATGTTCATGAAATGAAACTCTATGCTCCAACAGTGACAACGCATAACAATCCATGAGGCTTTCGCAATCTATGATACTACTAGAGTAGTAGTCCTCTACTCATTAATAAGAATTGATAACTTAGAGTCAAATATTGTGTGTTAGGCAAAGCCAAATATTCTCTTTCTTTTT